GGGGGGGGAGTGGAGTTTTACTCATGGGATGCATGCAAAAGATTATAGATTTTTTTTTCCTATATTCTGTGTTTTGGCAGTAAACTCAGTCTTAAATATGTGTGAATCTGGGCTGGCTAGCTTTTAGGAAGTCTTTTATAACTCCTGGGCATACTGCTATTTTTTTTTTTTCTTCACAGAAATACTCCTTGATTCCTGCACTCCATATTCAGATCTACTGCTGAGATCAACAAAAAAGAAATGATAAAATTTTTTCTTATGGTAAACAAACAAGGTCAAACAAGGCTCTCTAGGTATTATGAGCATGTAGAAATTAATAAACGGACAATGCTGGAAGCTGAAGTAATCAAAAACTGTCTCTCTCGTTCAAAGGATCAGGTAAGTTTTGTAGCTTTCCCCCCTTAGCCATTTTATTTTATCAACCTCTTGGAGCTTTCATGTCAGTAATTCTGAAAACACATCAGTTTCCATTGCAGGTCATTATTTCATTTGTACCCATGAGGAAAAAGACCATGTTTCTAGATTATAGATTCAGCCAGTTGAACTGTTATTCTACATTGAATAAACACGTTTTTCTGAGGCTTTCAGAGATTTTTGAGCTTTGTGTATCACTGTCATGAAGATTCCTCCTGTTCGTTTGAAGAATCTCAGAAGTCCAGAAAGAATTTATTCTATCCTGTTATTGATTTCTGGTAGAACTCAACAGAGAGAGAGATTACTGCTGCTTTGCTGGAAGGTAGCAGGGATAGTACTGACACCTCCAAGTTTAAACAAAAAACTTAGGAGAGAGGATTCCAAATCATGAAAATACTGTCTAAAACAGAGGGGTTTTTTGAAACACAAATTTTTACGTCTCTGTATTCGGCATTATTATTCAAAACAGTGTTCGCACTTTCTGCAAGAAAGTCAGAAAACTCAGAAGTTGGACAATTTCTTAGATGAAAGTTGAGACTTTAGTGGCTCGCTCAATTGAGCTATTGTTTTTTTAAGAAAAGTACCAAACATAGCAAGCCTTTTGAGCTAATTGATGTGCATTGGAGGAGAAATCTGTGACTTGGACTATGAGTGGAGTTTTTTGGGTTGTGTTCTGAAGTCAGGTTCTTTATTTTTCATTAATTATGTATGTCATTGAACAGTGGTCCTTACATATTTCATTCTAGAAAACCTCAGAAAAAATAGCAGTTCCTATAAAGTACCTTAGTTCACAGACTTGACAGTGGCTAAAGAAATTAACCTCCTCCATAATGCTCTTGCAAAGCATCTCCAAAGAGAATCTTCACCAAAAGAACTGACAGTATGCTGCCATTTCAAGGACTGAGCAAATTGATTCTTAAAAAAAAGGACTAAGCATCTCGTAAAGCAGGGTATAACAGCACCATCTGCTGGATTCAGCACTGTGAAAGACGCGAATTTCACCCCTGGATCTGGAAGTCTAACACTCTTAATTTTTATGTAAAAATATCGATCATTTTTTAAATATGAAAATGACCTCCAGGTTGTCTCTTTTCGAAGTGCTGCCAAATGAAAATTTAGGGGAAGTATTGACTGCTTCATAACCCTGAACAAGTCGCTTTTTTCTGTATGTTCCAGTTTTTCAATTTAAAAAGTGGTAGCAGGTTTTCTGTCAGTAGATGAAAAGTTTTGTGTAATAGTTACCCTACCAAATTTCTTTCAAATCAAAATGGTTTGGTGGATCTTGGGAAACCCATTGTTTTGTGTGGGCCTTATGAACATGAAAGCACAGACTCTTTGAGCACTCTGTGCTTAATACTGTCATATGCTTAAATGGCAACTACTACATTTGACTTGGTTTGCTTCTGTCTAGTGCTCTTTCATCGAGTATAAGGACTTTAAGCTGGTTTACCGACAGTATGCAGCCCTTTTCATAGTCGTTGGAATCAATGAGACAGAGGTAAGAAACTAGATATCCTCTTGAAAGGAAAGCTTGTAGTGATTATCACAGGCAAGAGCTCAAGTCTTCCAGTATGGCATTTTGCAGTAGCAATTAGAGAATTTCAAGGCATCATTGAAAAAAACAAACAAACAAACAAACAAACAACCATTTTTATTTCTGTGAAATAAAAAGAGGTATAAGGGAAAATGTGGTATGTTTGACTTTAGTCTGTGTAGCAGTAGACTGAACTGTTATCATGAGGCAGTCTTCCTGAGCCTTATACAGATTCTGCTGTCAAAATTTGTTTGATTAAACTTTCCTAATTTATTTGATTAAACATAAATTTATATGGAATGGGGTTTCTCAACAAATGTTAGCATTACAGCCAGATCAACTGTCTTATCTGTGGTGACTTCCCAACTGCCCACTGTTTTTAACCTCCTCAGCCAAAGAAGGTATTACCATACTGTCAGCTAAAGGGGGGGGGGGGAAGGTATTTGAAAATTGGCAAATACTGTTATTGCATTCTGTTGCATACTGTTATGCATTCAGGCTGAGCCTACATGGCTTTACTGTTTACATTGATTCCCAGTTCTCAGAGATTAATTCAAAGCTTACTATTGGAGACCTTAACAGGGTGGTGTGGAAGGTAGCTGCTGACTGCCACAGCGTCTTCAAGTCAGGGTTAAAATGGCATGTGATTTGGGGCAAATTCTTTTGGCTTTGCTACAAAGATCACCCATCTGTAGTGCTGCGGCACAGCCTGGCTCTGTGCTGCACCTGGCCGGTGTGACTTCAGCATGGGTAGGCATAGCCTGGTTAGCTGCATCTATCTCAGTACCTAACCTGGGTGATGGTGAAACAAAGGATGCAATGAGATGGCAGCAGCCCAGGTGAGTCAAATCCATTAGGTTTTGCCGTGCTTACCTGTATGGCTGGTTTGAAGCCTCTGCGCCGGTGTGCTCCCCTGTTCACCATACCTCTGCTGGGTAACCGCACCTCTGCTTGCTGTGGTGGCCTGAGCTGGTGCACTTTATTATAGGTCTTATATTTTATAGTTGCTTTTCATACACCAAAAACTGAAATAATGCTAAGACTAATACTACATTTTCTAGATATTCTTTCAATATTCACTTTTTTTTTAAATTTAATTTCAGAACGAGATGGCAGTATATGAACTAATTCATAATTTTGTGGAAGTTTTGGACAAATACTTCAGCAGAGTGGTGAGTGAGATATTGAATCTATTATGAAATATTTCTTCTCTTTCAAAGCTTTAGTGAATATGTCATTCTAGGGGATAAATCAAGTAATTTTATTTTTTTATATATGTTTAGAATTTGGAATACGCTAGTATTAATATTACCGCTGTAAAAAATAGATAAATAAATAAATAAAAGAAGTGGGGAAAAAAAGCAGTATTAGTTGGTTTTTCAGAGAAGTAAAAGTATACATTGGTTATAAATCATCAGACAAGGAACACCAGAAATATTTATGGTAGAAAAGCATGTTTTTATATGCTTCTTTTCAAGGGTTTCTTTGGGTCATCTACTCTTAAATTAGCCACAGGCATTTTATACATTTTGAAGAAATAGAGAGGTTTTTCTTTACAGATCTTTTTTGCAGTTCTTAGCATTATATCCCCCAAACGAACTTCATTCATGATAAACATGGTATAAGCATTAATCAGGGAGCTGACATCACTCTTGCTGAACAAGATCAGAGGGATGGAGCAAAGGAAACCTCATAAACCAGTCTGTACTTGTGGTCCCCATATTGTTGTCATGCAACGAGTATCTGATAAACAGCTATTATACAGAGTCATTTCATTAAGGATTCAACATCAGACATGGCTCCAATTAAAATGACACTGCTCCTTTTGGTAGGAGATTTTTTTTTTGCTTGTTTTTACAAAGTTTGAAAATGCAGCATGATAATTCTGATTAGAACATGTGCTATCTAATATAGGGTTTGTAATAATCTTGTTATAAATAAATTTTCCTGAAACCGTACTTTGGCACAATTTCAGTTTATCTATGCTGAAATGTATCGGATATCCCTCTCAGAGAAAAAGGACTGGATAGACTTTCCTCCATAGTCCATGTGCTTGAGGGTATTACGCTGGTAATTATACATACAAGAGATCAGTATGCAGGGTCTGGAACTGGTTTTCCAGTCCTAGCATCACAGCAGATGGGGCAGAGCTCCCTCTGTGATTTCAAGGATATGCTTGAAAAAAAGTCATCTGCACCCTTCACTGTTTAGATGCCTAGCAAATGGTTTAGGCTATTATCTCAACTAACAGTACACCAGCCTGTTGAAACTGCTGGTACCAAGTATATCACTTTCTGACTGTATTAAGTACAGAATTTGTCTCTTAAAACTGTTATGATTTCAGTCCCAGCCTAAGCAGTGATAACCAGGAATGCAATTTGATTCCAGCAGCACAGAAACGCACAATAAAATTCAGTCACATTTATCTAATTGAGCTAATAGTTGCCAACCTCTTCTCAAGTTTTATTTTCTTCACTTGAGGCAGAGCAAAGATAGATGTAGTTTTTATACATATAAATGTAGTGTGTGTAATTCCTCAACCACGTATATAACCCAACCACTGATAGTTGTTAGAAATTTGCTGAATTCATCATACCAGAATTTTTGTTTTTTCCACAGCATCTCAGGTTTACAACTAGGGGAACCAAAAAGGGAGTGGTTAAAGAAGTCTCATGCCAGTCCATGGTTCTATTTTTAATAACATATAGCACAATAAATGGCAGAGCACTGAAGAAGAGGGCTATAATTCTAGCTGGGGTTTCTGGTAGAAACCACAGAGAAAGAAAGTATAAGTCTGTACTATAAGGGATTAATGTTTAGGATTTGCAGAATTTTAGCAGAATCCAAAATTATAATGATGACAATGGAGACAGAACTCTGGAAAAGGATTGAACATCTGTCCTGCTCTAGAAGGACATTTTGTCATCTATTATTTTTAGGCTTGTGAGCTTTAAACATTCTCACATACTTTATATTTTTATCTCATATATTTTTTATCTAATGGATTTTACAAAGCTTGAATTCAGATGTCAGAATAAACATTAACAGAATTAGGGGGAAAGTTTTCAGCGTTACTTGTGAGATGTAATTCTGAGTCCCCTTGACTTTTATGTGGCCACCCAGGGAAAACTGCGTACTGTTCAGAATACATATCCCAGTATTTTCAGCTACTTTTTAATGCTGAGGAAACTTAAACTGATCAGGCTTTTAAAATTTTTGTGATGTATAAAAAAATTTCTAACTGAAGAATGGCAGAGTCATTCAGTGGAGACCTCTAGACTCACTAGTTCAGTTAGTAAACTAGTTCAGTTAGTAAACTAGTTCAGTTTAGAGCATCTGTAGACCATAAAAGGAGTAGCAATTTTACCAGTGAGGACTCTGCCTAAAACCAGAGTTAGACTGTGAATGGAAACCATGTTAGCAAACTAAATTCCCTTGGTAGCAGATAAAGATTCCCTCTTTCAGCAGAGACTGGGGAAGCTCCACCCCAACTGTGCAAGATCTTAACTGCTGAGGTTGTGATTAATTGTTTCTAAATTTAGACATTTAACTGAGGCACCTAAGTTAGAAGTTTGGTCATCCTAAGATCCCATTACCAGCAGTGGAGACCAGTGAGTATCTTGAGAAAGTGAGTCATGCCTCAAGTGTGCCGAGTCAACTGTTGAAGATACCCATCTCTTCTGTTGACGGCAGAGAGACCACAAGGGCTTCTAACTCAGACATTTCGGTTAAATGAATAAAACTACTTGGGGTAAATCCAGGCCAAGAGTAGAAGGAAGACTATGATTATGTAAAGAGTTGTGTTGCTGGGGCTGGAGAATAGCTAGAAGTGCTAAGGATCCAAATCTTGGAGTTGCCTTCCCCCTCCTAATATATCCAACCCTGGCTACCACAGTCATGGGTACATACAATGACTAGATTTTGCTTTTGAAATGATGTGCAGCAACATTTTAAACACTGTTTTTATATAAAGTGTAAACTTGGCATTAATATCCTGTTTTTGCAGGAGGAGGAAGAGAAAATATAGGGCTGGAGTTGCCATGATTAGAGATGCTGGTTTTCCACCCACTCACTCAGATGGCACTGTGTATATTCAAATTGTTACTTGTGGGTGACCTCAGTGGGCTTTTCTAAGTAAAAAATTCAGAACATTAGGGTTTTTTTACGGAGGCAGGTAACACATCAAAGGCAGTGTTGCAGGGAAGAGCATGTAATTGTACAGCCCAGAACAGAAATCTTAATCACCCTGAAATTTTAAATCATTATTTTGAAGACTATCTTCTAAAGGGATGTGCAGTGTTTAATGACTATGAGAGATCAAACTGTAACTAATGGTTGTCTATCTCTTTTCCTTGCAGAGTGAATTAGATGTATCCTTTTCAGTATCAAAAATGCATTTTTCTATCTCTTTTTGGTGTATGTTCTTCTCATAGCACTGACTGTCAAAGAGCCAAGACAATGCAGAGGTTTTGCAAATTTTGCAGTTGCAGCACCATTTTGGCACCTTTCTAAAAGCATGTCAGTGATGTTCAGGAAGGGCACCTATTTAAATCCTCAGACATTAAGATAAGCCTGGTACCATTTAAGTTAAGACCGGGAGAGCTTGTTTAGAGAGAACTAAGTGCCATTAACACCTAGCCACGAAAACTTATATTCACGGGGGAAACTTTCAGGCTTAACTGTTATGTCAGGGTTTTACTTTTTCTTTAATTTTACAATAAAAATACAAACAAATAATAAAATACAGTCTGAACAATTAAACACAAATAGCAAGTAAATATAATACAATACTGAATTCAAATAAAATTAAACTAGCAGAATATAGTGCAACAGTCTTCCTCAGTTCTTCCAGTTCCACTGCCTGCTCACTACTCCAGCAAGCCTTATGCCTAGGTTTGGTTTTGGTTAAATGCAGATCTACTGGTACAAAGAGTTTCAATTATACACCTGAAATACAGTTGCCACCCTGGAATCAAGTACTGTAATTTAGTTTATTTACCTTATTCAAGAATCACTACATATGAATAATGTAGAAAAATGCTGTAATTTTTCTTGTAACTGTTCTTACTTCTTTACTGAAAGAAAAAAAAAAGAAATAATTTCAGTTTTGTAAATATTTTAATGCTTGATACATGCTGGAAATCTGTCTCATTTACTGAACTTAAATATAGATGTATATATATGTATGTGTGTATATACCATCTGTATTTCCTTCCTGAAATTCACAAAATGCTGTGGTATGAATATAACACTCCTAAATTCACTTAAAAGAGCAATAATGAAATTCCAGCATGAAGGGACTCTTAAGGTCTCTGAGCAATTGTATAACCACATTTTTTGTATTCAGTTATTTTAGTTAAGGATTAGAACTATGTGTACTTGTGTGTGAGCTTTGCTGAATTAGAAACCAACCTGACCTATTCTGTAATTATACATAAAAATAGTCCCCTGTGTTTCCATATGGTGTACTTTAAGTCTGCAGTTACCTGATTCTTTTTATCTTAGATTGATTCTAAATTCTGACTGCCTCTGGTCATCGTTTTCATACTGAGAGGAATCTCCTGTAGTTACACAAATACAGTTACCACCAGTAGCCTGTTGAATAGCTGAGGAAGGCTGATACATACCCAGCAATCTTCTGCATACAGTGCTTGTTTGCATTGCTTAGAGCAGTTGTTGCATTATTTGTCAACACTAATGCTTGCAACAGGTGCAGTACCCTGTCTGAATGGTTCCTGTAGAAATTCCTTCTACATGGGTCTCGTCTGCATGAGGGTGTGAATATAAATATTTGGAAAAGAGGAGTGTGCATTACTATAGTATTTGATAATACTGGAAATAATATTGGAAAAACTTATGTCTCAGCATGTATAACATGAATGAGGTACATAATTATTCAGAAAGGCACTTTTCTACGTTAAATATTTCAGGAACAATTTTAAAATAAATCAATTTTAAAATAAAATAATTCTCCCATTTAGGAAGAAGAGCTTTTCATAAGTTGAGACGATACCTAAAATAGTTGAAGTGAGATATGCTCAACGATTAAATATAAAGCAGAGGTATAATGATGAAGTGGGCTGTTCACAACTGTATTTATTTTTGACAATAGCTTTAGCAGCTAAGAACAATATCACGTCTGGACTACAGGTACCTTCAATGTTAATGCAGTGCAAGCAATAATCCATCAATATGCCTTTCAATGTGTGTAAAATAATATCCCCACCTGGGATTAAACCATTTCTCTCACCAAATAATCTTATGATAACTCTTATATTCAGTACAATTAACTTGGATGCAAAATAGCTAATGGAGGAAGTAGAGTCCGAAGGTCTGTAAAAGTGAACACCAAGTAGTATTTACACAATCTTTGTAGATGGAGTATCTGGCAGAAAACTCTCATGATTTCTTGTCTATGCACTGTTGTTTTTGTGCACAGATCCATAGGAAGGTTATTTCAAAAATTATAGTAGCTATTCTACATGGGCTGTTTACTAACATGATAAAAACAGTAGGAAATACCATGAAATCAAAACCTGTGATAATCATTGAAGGCTATTCACTTATGCACAGATCAAACCCCAACTAAAACTAAAGGCTGAGATGATCACACAGTGGAAATGTTCTGGAGCCCACACTAAGCCTGCAGCACATGCACCAATACTTAAAACTTCCCCAGCTGCAGTGCGTTACCCCACTATTCCCAGCAACGCAGCTCCTGCTAACAGGGGACTCCAGCTTTCATTTAGATCCAAACACCTGAATTGGCCCTGGGCACCTGCATCGTAGCTGGCGGCAAGGCCCAAGTCTGCAGTCAGGTGCCAGGAAGGGCACCTTGGGCACAAGGCAGAGGCTGGGTCCAGCCCTGCCCAGCAGGATTCATACACAGTATTCATATGTACGTGTGACATGGGGGGGG